TTAAGATAAAAAATAAAATAAAAAATAAAATAAAGTCAACCTAAATAAATAAATAAATAAAAATGAACTCAGTATTCTGTCTAGTCCAAACCTTTTCCTCCTCCACTGTTTTTATTTTAAAAAGTTCATCATCAGTCATTCCAAAGCTGCAAATATAAAAAATAAAATGAAAAATACAAATCTCTGTGTGTCTGTTTTCATGTAAAATGGTTATATTTATATCAAAGTAAAAATGTATAAATTACAAATTTGTCAGCTGGACACTATGGGGAACCGAACCCTTGACTTGTGATGTTAGAGGCCATGCTCTAACCAACTGAGCTAACCAGCCAGCCAGAAGTCAATCCTTTCATAAACGAGCTATTTCTCCATTTAAAAAACAATTGAATTTGAAATGTTAAACATCCAGAGATATTTCTTATATAAAAATCCAGAACGTTTTTGACTTCTATATTTCACAATACCTGTTCATTTTGGATCCTTAAGTTTTCACTTTCAATCCTTTTTATTCTGTGCATTTCATGTAAGTATGCATTTTTCTTTTCTAACCACTCCTGTAAATACAAAAAGAGGCTATATAATATTTAAATTTGACAAATGAATTAGAATTTTTATCTATTTCTGAGATATTTGATTAAAACTTTAAAAAGAAAAGCAAAATTTATAAGTTTTATATAAAGTTGTATCTTTTTCTCTTTCAGATAGTATTATAATATATAAAGATAATACTAATTAAGAAAAGTATCTGTATGTTATTCTTCTTAGTATTAACAATAGACTTCAAGGACTGAATACAATTGATAAATATATCAACATTTTTCTCTGAAATTCGTATGTAAAAGTTTCTAAAGTGTACTATTCTGTATAACAAACAAGACAAAAAAAACTTTTTTAAAGATGTGAAAAAATTAGTAAAATCTTTTTCTGTGTAATCCTAACAAAGTCTCAGGAAAAAAAAAAATAATTAAAAACTCTTTTTGTTCATAGTTATATAAAATTTAAGGAGAAAAAAGCATTAAAAACATAAATAGACCTTACAACATTTTGGCTTTTGCTTTTTGGTATGTTTCTGTAAATTGTAATGGCATATTCTCTTTTTTAAAAAAACAACTATGATCAGTTAAGCAAAGTGTGAATGAAAATAATTTAGTAAAATAGCTTTGGATTATTCATGTATTATAAAGGAACATCTTTGCCAATAAAATTAAGTATTAAATCATCATTTCTGACAGGGCCATTTTATTCTTTCTTACGGAAATGATTAATTCTTTTTAAAATATTTTGCTTTTTACCTGATAAACAGCTGCCCTTATGTTATCTGCTTTATCAGGTTCTACGCTCTGCTTCTGTGAAGGCTTTTGGTCCAAGACTTTCAAAGTCCCTAAATAGTGAGAAGAGGTAGTTGTCGATGGAGTTCTTCTTATAGAACTAGATTTCTTTAAAAACTCAGAGGTCATTAATCTGAAAAGATCCAAATGAATCAAGATAAAC